GTGCTCAGCCTATGTTCATTAACTTTAAAAAAAAAAGAAGGCAAACTTCACATTTTCATATCTTACAAAAGCAGTTTATATCAGAGTTCTATGTGTAACAAATAAAAGCAACTGTTTTAATAACTAAAGAAATTATGGTTTCAAATCTCACAAATTGTACATATACTTCCCTTTTCTAAAGACCTGATGAACTATTACTCATGTCATTTCTTCATTAAAATAAAAAAAATCTTTATTTTACTTAGAATAGTGATTATTTAAGAGGACTGATAAAAATTTCACTAAAATCACATACCTGAACAATCGCTTGCCTTTGGATTCTTCTCTGTTCTATTAGGGCTTCTTCATCTTCTTCCTCTACATCAAAGTCTTCAAGGCTTTAAAAAAAAGCGCAAACATCCTTACAGATTCTAAAACCATTAACTCTTATACATTTCAATATCAAAGACTGGGAAATGTAAGTATCATTAAATTAGAGCAAAGTCTCAAGCCTTATTACTCTCATTTCTAAACTGTCTCACTTGCCTGGTTTGGAATCCAGGCAAGTAATTTAACCTTCCTTTGTCTCAGTTTTCTCCTCACTTATTTCATGGTACCAAAATTAGGAACAAAGGAAAGATCTCTAAGTTTAAAAAAGACATTTTGGTTCTTCCATGACCTTAATAAAGTCATTTTACCTATTTGGCCTCAGTTTTCTCATCTATAAAACGAGGGCTAGGACAGTTAAGTAAACTGCTACCTTTTCTGGATCACAGAAACCTCTGAGAACTCATGAAAGCTACATCCCCTTCCCTATCAAAAATGTACATGCAAATGTTTGAAGGAGAATGTGGCTCTCTACCCCAAAACATTGCCGCTGACCCTCCCCACTTATCCCTCAAAGACCTCCACAATCTTTATGATGCCTCCCAGTGCAACCTTTTCTGTGATCCTACCTGCCAAATGTTCACTTAAGAGGCATAAGCAAACTACACTATGACTATACCAGATCTATATAAAACACCCTTCCCCTACTCAACTATTTTAATCTCCTACGTTTATTCAGGATTTCTCAAGCTTAGCACTACTGATTTTTTGACATGGATAGTTCTTTTTTGGGGAGGTTACCCTATGCATTGTAGGATGCATTATCCCTGTCCTCTAGCCAAGAGACAACAACTAAAAACGTATCCACACATTGTCACAATATTCCGAAGGAGGCAAATAACGCCCTGTTGAGAAACACTGCTCTAAATGAGTCTTATTTATTTTTGAGATATTCCACCTAGAGAACTAAGTCAGCATCTTAAAAATTTCCCCACTATTTTATCACACACTGAAATGCTTCTCCATTTTCATATTGTAATAGGGACACCTACCGCCAGAACTTCAATTTTAAGTATGTATCACCTGACACAAAATGAAAAATATAAACTTTGTACAGAAATTTCCCTCCTAAATCTCTTGGTAGGACTAACATATCTGGGTTCCTAATAAAAACAAAGAGAAGACTCACAATAAAAGGATGGCCCAGGAGTCACTCGAGCTAAAGCCGAAAACCCTAAATTCAGAAAACCGCTAACTCTGCCACATAACCAACACAATATGCACAAAAGATTAACTTTTAAATTCAGGACCAAATTAATGGATTCACTTATGATATTCAAGTGGAAATATTTAATGACTTTCAAGTCAAATAGGACTTGTCTAAATTGCCAGAATGAAGTTACAGAAAAGTTCTATTCTTACTTATCATCAGATGAAGATTCTTGCTCAACTTTCATTCCTTCGGAAAGACTTCCTTTAAATTTATCTTCCTTTACTTTGCTTCTGCTCCTTCGTCTACGACCACCCCGTGATCGAGACCGCCTTCTCAAGCGTGATCTGCTCCTCCGACCTCTGTCCCTATTTAAAGAAAAAGACATTTTTTAAAATGTCAATTAAAGTGGGGGAAGGCATGTATGTATGGGGGGTATGGGATACATAGGAACTCCTTTTGCTCAATTTTGCTGTCAATCTAAAACTCTTAAAGGTCATTTAAAATTTTTAAGTAAAATAATAATGTCCGAAAGATTGACATAATCAGCTTTGCTGAAGATAACTAAAACACAGCTACAGTTCTTACTAAATTTTAAACTAAAAATGCTTCCCATGAACATGCACTTAAATGTAAGCTCTACGGGAATCAATATCTGATGTTCTTTGTATTCTTATAGCACCAAGGTCCACAGAAAGATACTGGAGTCCGGGAAGAGACTGACTACAAAGGGACATGAGGCAACTGTGGGGTGATGGAAATGTTCTCTAGCAAGACTGCAGTGACTATGTGACGTGTGTGTCTATCAGAATTCATACAACGTTACACCAAAAGGGGTGAGTTTTACTTTATGTGATATACAATTTTTAATGAACTCGACTTAACGAAACCTTACCAAAATGACAGTATAAAAAACACTTAAAAAGAAAATCCTGAGGCAAAGAGAATTTTAAGAGCTATGACAGCATAGATGTCAATGAAATCTTGAAATGTGCACATTGGATGGAAGAGTAGTAACAAATCAAATTGAGCTGAACACTAGTCCAACAGGAACAGACGAGGTAAATCAGAAATAAGTCAGTGCATGTTACAACGCCCCCAGAAACTGCAGGAATTGGAGACACCTCACCCTCTGAAACATGGAGTGTGAGGTAAAAGCTGAAAACAGAATTGCTTGAAAGCCTTTAGAAACAGCCAGACTCTGTAGGTTCCCCTCCCCAACTCAGTGGAAAATGCCAACCACTCCCTTCACATCCTAGCAGAACACTTGCAATTTACTTTCCACAGAAGTGTTGGTTGTTATAAAAACTGGTACCAGATGCTGGGAGACACTGTACCAAAAATAGAGGGATTAAGGGGACGTTTACATTATGAAAGACCAGAACTCTACTGGCAACCAGTTCTATATGCTCCCTCAACTGGAACGGAGAGGATTCTCAGAAATTTACTAGTCTAAGAGAAAACATCCAAAGTCATTGATATCAAAAAATCTCTATCTGATTATCCTGAAGTGATAGCCACTAATTGACAAGTTCTACACTGTCACAATTGAAGAAAGCTTCCATTCAGCCTTCTCAGTGCCTAACTATTAAATCAGAATAGGCAGAAATGAAGGATCCAGCTGTTTGAAGAAAGTCTTCAAATGAAAAGGTAGATAAGCAGCAAAAGGAATCTGGGAAGAAAAAATGTAGTACAGAGAAAAAAACTATAAAGAACAAAAATCACACAAAATAAACTCAGTATCATCTGAGAAAGAAAGAATGCTATTTCCAGAAAACATGAATGTTATTTAAAAAACAGAATAAACAGCAAACAAGGTCTTAGAATAAAAAAAATCTACAAGCACAGAAATTTAAACAAATAAATTAAATAATCAATAGAATAGTGAGAAGGCAGAATGAGAAAAATCACCTAGACTGAAAGTAGAACAAAATGGGAAACATGAAAGATAAGTGAGGAAAAGTAAGTGAAATATAGAAGGTCCAACTTGGTGGGGGGTAAGGTGGGGGGGAGGAAGCAATGGGGAAGAAGCAAAAAAAAAAAAAAAGAGAGGAAAAAAAATTCCCAAAATAGAAGGCCATAATCTTACTGCTATAAAGGGCCTATCTAGTGGCCAGCAAAATAAATAGAAGAAAAAAAGCCACACACCAAGGCACATTATACTAAAATTTCAGAACACAGGACATTTATTATAAAGAGAAAGGGATGGGAAAAAAAGCAAGTCCTTTAAAAATGCCCGGGAAACAGAATAGGACCTTCTCAATAGCAATACTGGAAACTAGAAATCAGTGAAACAACGACTTCAAAATTCTCAAGGAAAAATGATTTCAACTTAGGACTCTATTCCTTTCCACATCAACAATGAGAATAAAAGGCATTTTTTTAGAGATATAAGGTCCCCCAAAATGTTCTTTCCATGTGATTTTCTCAGGAAGTTATTGGAGATGCATTACCAAAACAAAGGAATAAAAAACCATGAAGACACTGGACACAGGAAATGGATTCACAATGCAAAAGAGAAACAAGGAAATACCAAGATGGCGAAAGGAAAGCAAACCCACAAGGATAACTGCACAAGCAGCCTCTAGAAATCAGTTCGGAGCCAGCAGACTACGAGCCTCAGGAGGAAGATCCTCTCTTTCTCCCCTATTTGCTCAGCAATGACAATATGCACATGACTAAAATAACAACTATACTGACTCCGGAAAAATAAAAAATGTGATGAAATTAGGCAAAACAGAAACATAGGTGAAGGATGGTATTTAAAAAAAGCCCTAGTTGTCCAAAGTATTCTTAGACTATGCATTTCTATTTCTAGGAATGTGGTATACAAATTCTCAGAGACATGTAAAGATGGCTACAATATGAGCCTTTGGTATCTTTTAAAACTGTGTTCATGTATTACTTCCATTAAAAATGTTAAAAAACTGACAAATGTCCACTTACGTTTTAGGTTAAAATATTTAATGTATATGTGATTTTAAAAAATGATTCCCTGCTTTAAAAGCCTTTTTGATTAACCAACTAACTATGGAAGTATATGTGCTTCAGATAAAATGGTTTCTCTGGTGAATTAAATAGGTTTTTGCCCAAGAGTCTTCAGGAAGTATCAATATATGGAATATAAGAACATTATAAAACTATAGGACACTCACTGGGCTACATATCTACTATCCCTATGTCTATCTTGCTAGTTAGAAAAAATAAAACAAAAACCCAAGCCTAGTTCATTTAGTATTTATCACTCATAAAAGAGAGAGAAAAAAGTCCTACTTTTGAAAGATTAATTTAATTGCATTTTTAATGAGCAAGGATTTGTTTAAATTTGAAGAGAAAACTATATAAAATAAAAACCTATGGATGTGGAATAGCACATGCTGGTAAAAAGAAAGTATGGAACTACAGCTATAATTTTTCAGAGAAAAATGTCTAAGAGAAAAACTACCAATTGAGCTCATTGGAGCTTCAAAAACATTCAGAGTTTAATGAATTAAAAGGATATTATATGTAATCTATTTTTACCTTCTTCGAGGAGACCTGCTTCTTCTTCTTGGAGACCTGCTACGTCTGAGTGGGGAACGAGACCTCCTTCTAATGGGAGATCTACTTCTTCTTCGGGTTGGAGACCACCTATTGATGGGGCTGGCATCTTTTGATCTTTCATGTCTACTGAGGATATCATCTCGAGGTCGTGTTCTTAAGGAGATCAAATGCAAGTTAACAGAAAAATAAATCAAACTAAATGAACTATACGTGTGAAGAACATCTACCTGTAAGAAAAGGCACACTAGCCTAAAGAAAGTAAATACCGATTAGTATGTTTTGTAACAAAAAAATTCAGATAACCACAATGACATTTTGGAGTCATGGTAGACACACAATAAAAAGTCTTATTTCCTCTGATTTCATAATTTGAAGAATTATTGAAGGTTATTCATATTGTTAAAGACACCGTTTCTAATTTCAAATACACAACTCAAATAAAACTTACCCAAGTAATAATACTCCATTTTCCTCAACACTAGGACTTTTTTCTTTCACATTTTGACATTTCTGCAATTAAGAATCTTTTTAATGTCAATTAAGTATAATAGCATCTTACAATCAACATTAACCTCAGAACTAAGGAAATATCTCTGTCTCTCCTCCTCAAAATCAACTTTTCAACACCTGTTTCACAAGTATATTCCAATAAGATTTACTCTTGTGTATTATAATAGGCCTTTCTACAACTTAATTTTTTAAAATAAGTTTTGCATATTTTTTAATGTTATTCCAGATTTTAACAGAACTATTCAATCTGAAGTCAGATTGTAAACAGGTTTGTCTCCACAATTAAATAACATTGTAATATTTCCCCCATTTAACAAAACATAAAAATACAACCTGTCTTATATGTTTGAACACGGTGTTCAGAACCTAAAAGAACTTTTTTCTAATCTAGCCAAAACGAGTAAAGGTAGACTTAGACTCAGACCTATAGTGGTTATTTCTTGGCAGGGCCATCTGAGGAAATTCTTTTATTTATATATAATCTGCTCATGCACTGTTTCAAAAGCAAAAATATAAATGGATGAGATAAAGTAAAAGAGTACAGAAGGAATGGAGTGTTTGTTATATGCTTAAATGCGATGAAAATAAAAATGTTCGACCTCACTAGTGACCTGAGAAATTTAGACTAAAATAGTTTTTTTAAAAATTAAAGAATAACAAAATGATACTACAAGGTGTTTTGGTAATAAGGATTTGGGGAAAAGGACAGTTCCATACAGTCATGGAAGTACAAACTGGTCTAACTTTCCTAGATGGAAATTTGGCATAACTTTCCAAAATATAAATGTACATACCCTGAGACTTTACAAATTCACTTCTATGAATCTGTTCTATAAAGAAACCTTATACATAACCAATGAACATCTTTGCAAATAGTGTAAAACTGGAAGCAATCTAAATTTTCATGTTTCAACAAAAAAACGATTATGACATATCTATACTGAAATACTATAAAGAATGAGAAAAAACATCTGTATGTATTGTCACAGAAGTGTTTCATGGCAAAAGGAAGCCATTCATTAAAATGAATAGTATAACTCTACTTGTGTTTAAAAAAAAAACAAACCCCTTATATTCATATAATTATATGTACACAGAAAAAGGGCTAGAAGGACATAAATTTCTTAAGAGTAGTGGAGGGATAAAGTGAGCAAATTTACAGATTTCTGCATTATCTAGATTTCTCTTTCATTGGTATGTACCACTTATATAATTTAAAAAATATTTTTGTTTCAAATACTCAGCTTTAGTCCTTAATAAACTCCTCAGAATTTGCTCTTCTACCAAAAGCAAACTGAAAGACTACCAGGATAATTAAGAAACACTTTAGATAACAGAATCAGTAAAACTAAAAACTGCCTTAATGTAGAAAGCTAAAGGAAAAAGAGGGTTATTTCACTAACAATGCCACTTAAAAGTAAAGAATCAAGAGTCTCTCAAAACAGAGCACTTTGGAAAGTTTATACCCATATGTAGAAAACATTAATATAAATACAGTAAATGGCTAAAAATTCATGACATCTTTACTAGTATAAGTCAACATTCTTTTTTTAAAGAGATGGGATCTTACTCTGTTGTCTACACTGGAGTAGAGTAGCCCAATCATAGCTCACTGTAGCCTTGAACTCCTGGGCTCAAGGGATCCTCCCACCTCAGTCTCCTGAGTAGCTAGCACTACAGGCGCAGGTCACCTCACTTAACTAATTTTTCAACTTCTAAAGTAGTTTAGACTGGTCTAAAGAACTTCCTCAAGTAATTTAGTTCTATGATCCTAGGTAAATTATATAAATTCTCTATTTCCTCATTTATAAATTAGGTATGAGAGCCCCCCCACCTCATGAGTTAAGATAATCACGAGGACTTATGAGAAAAGAACTGTGATAGATCGAATGCATTATTCAAATGTGAATTATCATTATAATTGGTACAAAATAAAATCATTTCTTACACTATTCTTCCTAAACTTAAGAGATACTTTTCTCAACAATGAAATCATATGTACTTGTGATACAGTTTGGGATGTTTGGCCCCTCCAAATCTCATGTTGAAATATGATCCCCAGTGTTGGAGGCAGGGCTGAATAGGTGTTTGGGTCTTGGGGGCAGATTCCTTATGAATGGGTTGGTGCTCTCCCAAGATAATGAGTGAGCTCTCACTTTATTATAGCTGGTTGTTTAAAGAAGCATAGCACCACCTCCTCCCTCTCTTCCTCCTTCACACCATGTGACATGCCTGCTACCCCTTTGCTTCTGCCTCGACTGGAAGTCCCCTGAAACCCTCAGCAGAAATAGATGCTGGCATGAAGCTTCTTGTACAGTCCGCAGAACCATGAGCCAAATAAACCTCTTTTGTTCATAAATTACCCAGCCTTAGGTATTTCTTCTGTAACAACGCAAAACGAAGTAACACAATTAGTAACAAAACAATGTCCATTTTAAGTTTAATTATATTTTGGGGCCAAAAAAGTTAATATTAGTTCCATTTTATATTGTTAAAATTCAAAATCATGCAAATGCAAGAGAATAAACAGATCACAATCTTTAAACTGATTACTCCTCCCCCCTTTTCAAAGTTAGGAGTTTCAGCCTATACTGTTCAATGAAGTAATAATTCTCTCTGCACCCCCCTCCTGAAGATTTACCAGCCAAATTACTTGGAATTAAAGGAGTGATTTAGTAAATTAGATACTACATTAAATCATGAACAGGGGAGGGAGGACGGGAAGTGACTCTCATCGAGCATAGTATTTGTAAAATACCCATTATCAAAATACTCACTGACAAAAGTGTAGATAAATAGTTAAATGGACTGGATTGTACTTAAAATTATTAAACTCACGTCCACAAGTTCTAGTTTTCCCATTAAAATCTGGTGCATTAGTAAAAAAATTAACATTTTATAAACAAGTTACCTTGGAGAAGAAAGTCGTCTCCTCTCTGGTTCTCTTCGTTTTCTTTCTAAGGATCGGCTCTTGGCCCTCCTACCAGGAGACACAGTTCGAGAGGGTGATTTGCTCTGCTTAGATCTTCTATCGTTTACAAGTGGAGATCTACTTCTTCTTGATTTATCACGTTGTTTTGGAGACAGACTCCTTCTTTTAGGACTACGACCAGGTCTTCTACTGGGTGATCTATTTTCTTTCCCAGATGAAGCATCTTTAGAGGGAGATTTAATTGGTTTCTTTTCTTTATCAGTTTCAGACCGTTTTGATTTTCTCTCTTTGGACCGTGACCTTCTGTCTTTGGATTTACCTCTTAAGTCAACTGGGGATCTGGATTTTTTACCTCGATCCCGACTTCGTTCATTTATAATTGGGGATTTTTTCCTATCTTTTGACTTGCTTTTATCTTCAATTTTAACCTTATCATCAGTAGGAGATCTGGCCTTCCCAATTTTCTCTTGAGATCGCCTTCTAAGGGTAGGGGATTTTGATTTTCTTGCTTGATCTTGAGATTTACTTCTTTTGGATGGACTTTTAGACTTTTTCCTCTCCTTTGACTTGCTCCTAGTTGTTTTCTCTTTAACTGTTTCAATACCTGCCTTACTTTTCTTTTTATCAGACCTATGTCTAGTCCGTTCTTTGGATCTGCTTTTACTTCGTTTTTTTGCAGTATTTTTATTGTCCACAAGTTCAAGTTTCCCCTTTGTACTTGAAGATCTAGTACTAGACCTATTTCCATTTCTTGTCTTTTCATGAATCTCACCCTCTTCTTCAGAGCCAGATTCATAACCTTGTAAAATGAGCCCCATCCCAGACTGGACCTTTCCTTCCATTAACTCATTATCAAGTTCAGCTTTAATCAAGGCTCTCTGTTTTTCTAAGTCTTCTAGCAAAGCTAAATCATCAAGTTTAGTTCTTTTTGCTGGAGACATACCTTCTTTATCAGAAGCATCAACAACTTCTTTTCTTTTGTGTTTCTTATGTTTATGCTTATGTTTATGTTTTTTATCCTTGTCCTCTTCTGAGGAATGTTTATGTTTCTTATGTTTACTTCTGTGTTTATGCTTCTTTTTTTTGTGACGACTGTGTTTATTTTGAGATTGGTCTTCTGACACCTCTCCATTTTCTTCATTTATACTCTTCTCAGAATTATCAGCATCTTCCACCCTATATATGTACCAAACACATTTTAAAATCACATCATTTAATCAAGTATTCAAAGAGTCATAAAATAACAGTAATGATAAAATGCATCTCAATATATAAAGTTAATCACTAAAATTTTTTCAGAAGAGCTCATTTATTTCAAGTGTATGGCAAGAACTAAGTTAGATGGTGATATAACTTTAACATGTTTCAATAGTTGAATTCACATAGCAAGAGCATTAGAGGAAATACATAACGCGGTGAGGTTAAAAAAAATTATAGTACAGTAAAACCTTGTTAATGCTGATTTAGTTAAAATAGTCACTCAATAACTTGATTTTTAAGCCAGCATTTCCCACACATACTTTAAAACAACGAAAAAACTCATTTTCTTTCTTTCTTTTCTTTAAGAGACAGAATCTCTCTCTGTCACCTATGCTGGAGTGCAGTGGCCTGATCATAGCTCACTGTAACCTTGAACTCCTGGGCTCAAGCGATCCTCCCACCCCAACCTCCTGAGGAGCTGGAACCACAGCTGCACACTACCACACCCGGCTAATTTTCTAAAAAAATTTTCTATAGAGAACAGGGTCTCGCTATGTTGCCCAGGCTGGTCTTAAACTCCTGAGCCTCAAGTGATCCTCCTCCCACTTCAGCCTCCCAAGGTACTGGGATTACAGGCATGAGTCACCACACCCAGTCCCATTTTCTTTTTTCATAAAACATATCAATACTGACATATACTGGGAGACTAATCTCCTTTACTTGAAATCCAGCAAACCTGACATCTCTAAAATAAACCTTGCAGGTCATTTGGTTTTAGCAGATTTCATCTTACATCTTAAAAAAAAAAAAAAATCTCTAGAGCCAATACTAAGCTATATACCAAATAAGTACTCAATCAATGTGCCCGGTAGATGATGTTGATGATGCTGACGGTATAAACACATCCCCAAAGGTTAAAATTTCAAAGAGAACCAGCCAGGAGTTAGGACTCTTGGCCTGTCGATGTCATTAAGCAATCATGTGACATTAGGTCGACTCACACGGAAGGGCCTTTTGCAGGTCAACAGTCTAATATCAGCAATTTCATATGGTTCAACCCAATATTTGTTCAGCAAGTTATTTAATCTGACTTTCAAATGAGAAATTAGTTCCCCCAAATATGTTAAAACTAATAGGTGCTATGCAAAATATAATTAAGTAAACGGGGTTCCTATGCTTAAGTGGAATTATGTTGAGTAAGAGTCTACGATTCTAAACTACTTTATCAGCTCTTTGATGTTCAGTAATCCCAGGTTAAACAGCAGTTCAGAAACATTATTTAACTTTTCCCTTTAAAGTCACTCCATAATAAACCATCACATTCTAGAACATGAGTCCAAAGGTGACTTTAAATTACCCAAATTCAGACCTTCATACTATTTTTGGAGAAAGATATAAATTATTTTGTCAGGCCTTCAAATTATACACACCTATACTTATTATTAAGTATAGTATTTGTGCCACATACTATAAATAGCTCCTCGCAAATGAAGAAATCATAAATCTATTTGTCAATTTCTTAAAATTTTCTAAAAACCACCAACCACATGTAGGCATTAAGCCAGGTAGCAGGAAAACAGAGATGTTCAAGACCAACATCAGCCTTCCTCAAAAAAACTACAGTCCGATGGGAAAGGAAGTCACGTGACATTACCACCAAACACTGGAGAAGTGCAACGATAAAGACACGAATAAGGGCATCATGGGTCCACTGAGGGATCACCTACACTCACTTGAGAATGGTCAGGTCTGTGTTTTGTAGATCACAGAAAAAACCTATTTGTTAAGCAGGGACTTTGGGGGAAGAGAGAAAATGTTAATTGAGAAAGAACATGGTTTAAAAAATAAAGGTTGGATAGCAGTGTCCTAGAGAAGGAGTAAGGAATTAACCAGAAGAGGTAAGGGGCATTTCAGGTAGAGAAAGCAGGTGACAAAAGACAGTTTTATATAGCAAACCACACGCAGATAGGTGTCGCCAGGGCACTAAATTCGTGAAAGACACTGGTCTAACAGAGGTTAAGATTCCAAGTGATTCTGGGAGTGAATGGTCGAGACAGAATTAGAGGATCATTGGAGTCAGAGGCCAGAAACTGCAAGGTTAGGTTGCTGGTTAAGTTATCCACAATGACACTGGTATTTTTGAGGATTATGGCAGTAGTTGGGGTCTAGAGTCTGGACCACCAAGTATATTGAAAATCTCAGTCTTCAACAAACTTGTTGGGGGTAGGAGGAAATGGAGGTATGACTGAGAAGTTACTGCTGACAACAATGAGGGGGGATGGAGAACACAAAGCCACCACATAACATCATATTCAAAGAACTTCAATTCTGGGGAGTCAGATCGCCAGTCTCCATTTCTGGTGCCACGCAGTGTGGGAAAGGAAAAAGTATTAAAGAGAGATGCAGAGGAAGCTGTGTCCTCTGGTGAAAGTCAGGCTTTGGTTTGGGCCAGCTTCTCTCTAATGGAGTATGAGAAGACACAGGATAAACATGGTAGTGTTCTCTGGATCATTAATTTTTCTCAAAGACTTGGAAAAAGTAAATACAGTATCTTGGTATTAAAAAGCACCAACAGTGCTCTACTATGGAGGGGGGAAAATTACATAGATTTAAGTAAAAGATCCAAAGACATTTTGACTTTATTTCTAATAGAAATACCTATTTCTAATAGTTACCCTCATACAGGTAACTAATCCCCTTCCCCAGTAATCTCTCACTCCATAAGCCAGAAAGTGAAGTATGTCTTTTTTTCCTGAACCTTGACTTATATGGTAGAAAAGTTTGAGAAAAATTAGGATAATTCAAGTTATGAAGCTACGTATGAAGAATCTTTCTAAAAAGTGAGAATGATCTAAGTTTTATATATAAAATTCTAGTCGCTAAGCTAAAACTCAAATTACATAACTGTCCTCAAAACAAAGAATAGTTGAAGGTTAAGCACTCTCCAGAGCCACACTGCCTGGGTTCAAATCCTGGTTCCATTACTTAACTAGTCGTGTGACCCTGGGAAGTTTAAGATGCCTGATTCTCAGGCATTTCATCTACAAAATGGATAAAATAACAGTACCTACCTGAAAGGGTGTTATAAAGCTTACATGGGTAAACAGATATTAAATGCTTATGACAGTGCCTAGCACAGACCAAGTGCCCCCACCAAATAAGCTGTTATTATTGTATATATGCTGGATAAATACATTTATTCACAACAATCCCGTGGAACTGACAGGGCTAAAAGAATGTTATTTTGAGGAATACTGTCAAGAGCACCTGGAGTCAAACTACCTGGTTTAAATGCTGACTTCAACACGACAAAGCTATTGTAATCTTAAAGAAGTTGCATCCCTATGCCTCAGTTTCCCCAGCTGTAAAAACTGGGGAAATAATAGTACCAACAAATCATAGGTTTATCATGATAATTAGATGAGTTCATACTATAAAAGGCTCCCACACTAAGTGCTCAAGAAATGTTGTCTCTCCATATGACAGATGGGACTTTGAGGTTCAAGGAGGTTTAAGGGTTTAAGCCAGTCAGAAGGCTGGTATTACATTCCAAGTTAGTAAAAACCTCTTCCATTTGACTGAAGATGCTTTCAAAATGTTAGATTATGTCACTATTCTTCATGAAACTTGATTATTACTTCCTACCTTATTCAGAGCAAAAGCTAAAATCCTTTACAAGGCCCTATACTTACCTGTCCAACCTCAATACTCTGAACCTACTACTCTACCCCTCCACACTCACCCTGCTCCAGCTACACCACCTTCCCCGCCCCCCTCCTCCCCACCCCCCCGGGGCTCTTTTTAAAAAATCTACCCATCTGCTCATGAACACACCACCCACCTTCCTTGGACAGGTATACTCACATCTCAGGGCCTTGGTTCTTATACCTGCTGTTTCTCCAGCTGGGAATGCTTTCCCCAGATACATGCACTGCTGGCTCCTTTGGCCTACCTTAGGTCTTTGCTCAAATGTCACTTTCTCAGTCAAGTTTTACTGGTCAATCCATTTTAATTGCAACCCCCCACCCCACCACACACATATTCTCCTTCTGAACTTAAAATTTTTCTCCATAGCAATTGCCATCCTAATATAATTCTTGTTTGTCTCTCCCTATTATAATGTAAGCACTATGAGAGAATTTTTATCTGTTTAGCTCATTGCTCCATCTCTAGGGCACAGAAGATTATTTAACCTATCACAGGTACTGAGTATTTTATGAGTCAATGAAATGATGTATACAGAATAACATATAAAAGCTGTATTCATTAGACTTAAAGCTGGTTCGTACTACCTATTATAGACCTAGTGCTTGAAAGTTAAGATTTGGTTTTGCCACTTGAAACTCGGACTTGGGGGGGAGTGGGGAGGCAAGGGCAACATACATAACCTAAAATCTGTACCCTCATAATATGCTGAAATAAAAAAGTAAAAAAAAATAAAAAAAGATAAAAAAAGATTTGGTTTTGTTTAGTTATATCTCAGCTCAGTTATATCTCTAGTTCTTGACAGTGCACACATAGTAGGCACACACCTATTTGCTGAAATCACAATACTCGAAATTATTTAATTAACTCCCTTTCCAAAGAAAAATCTGCTTTTTGAATCCTTATCTTTTCTATTGCTTTCTAACAATTTTAAAAAGTCTTAGGAGTTTCATTCAAAATTCTTAAGCGTTTACCCACAGAGGAAGCAACTTCCTTCAAAAAATAAAAATAAAAAAAATCTAGCTCCTAGAGAGAAATATATCATGATGCCAGTGTTGCTGTATAAGAGTCATTCCCATGAGTGACCCATTTCTATCATAATTTAATGAATATTATCTCAAGAAATAATGAGTAGGTTCCTAATAAAAATGCTATAAGCATCTTAGGGCCAACTAGCTTAACCTTAATAAACCTAGAGTTTATTAAGAGTTCTCTTTCAGTGGGACTAGGCATATAGCAAATCTTTACTGGCCTCAGTTGATATCTCAAAGCAAATTTCATAGAAAATTAAAACTGAAGTCTAACTAGGTAAATCAGGAAAACTTGAAACAATGAGTCAATGGTATAAAGTGTTACACACAATGAGCTTGTGCTAAGACAGCTAAATTAGGTTCATTATCAACAACTTTCTTTTAAAGCTTTAGGAAAAGGTTTCTTGTTAAGAAACAAGATGGTCTTCTTAGAAATGTTTATACTGACAATAAATATAGGCTATATAAATCCCATATATATAAATGTACACTGTAACATTTACATTTTACAATTTAACATTACACATTTAGCAAGTAGATGCATATACCAACTTGTACACATTTGTCATAAAAAATATTTACAGAGAATCTCGAGTACTGGATAAGATCCTTCAGAACACATTACTTGGAAGCAAAGCTGAATTAGAAGTGCAGAGAATATGGGCGCTTAACGGTATCTGTTCATTAGTGTTGTTTTACCCTTCAAACAACCTAGGTCTTAGGGCATTTGGCACAATGAAAATAATCATGAACAACTTTAAAATAATATAAAGTGTGAAATCGCCAACCACTAATGTTATTTTAACTTCCTCTTTCACATACTTTTCCAAAGAATAGTCCTGATGAATTTATCTGGAAGACATTCAATTTATGCTCTGGAGACACAGAGAACTGATTAATTCAAATTTGTGTATGAATGAGATACTTTTCAAGTTAGACAATTAATTTTTTTAGTGGTGAGCTAAGCTAAGTGAAAGCCACTGCGCTTCTTTATCATACTTTTTTTTTTTCAGGGAGACAAGGTTTTACTGTGTTGCTCAGGCTGGATTCTAACTCCTGGGCTCAAGCTACAGGCGCATGTCACCACACCTGGCTTTAAAATATTTTCAATACAGAATGTAGATGTAAAAATTATAACGGATTCAAAAGGCTAATTAGTCTTAAAACAAACCTCCCCTCTGGTCACATCTTTTCTAAATCAGGTGTGGGAAACTAAGTTTTAACAAATTAGAGATGTCACATCAAAAAATGGTTCTTTCTGAGACGGTGTAAAGAAATAAAAATGATTCCAAAGTTCAAAGGCAATTTAAAAAAAAGCTGCAATGTATAGTGGGAGGCCAGACAGCACGATAGTTAGAGCAGGGGTTTAGAATCGGACTGCCTGAGTTTAAATGTGTCTGCCACTTAGTGTAACCTTGGGAAAGTTACTTAATTTCTCTGTGTTTCAGTTTCATCATTTGTAAATAATGTAAAAATAACAGAATCTACCTCTATAGGACTGTTATAAGAATTAAAGCCTTCTGAAAGCTTTTTATATTTATTCTAAATTTTCTATTTTGAATAGATTCCATATAACTGTAAATTACTCATTACCCTCTAAAGAACAATTCTAGACACTATATTTGGGCAGTCATTAGGAGCAGCATGCACAGTACTTGCTTTCACGTCAAATGTATTTTCTTTGTTAAATATTTTCAAATGAGTGAACATGGGACACATACGAACCAAATATTCATTTACATTAAATGTTCTGTGGGGAGGGGAGAGGAAGTTAAACGTTATCTCAGTGTTATTTATACTGCAGGGGCCTAATATATATATCTTTTATTATTTAAATCTAGTATTATTTGAATATAGTATGTGAATAAAATATGGCTGACCCATTCCTCAAAATGAATCTGAACCGTTTCTAAAAATCAAATAAATGGACATAATGCTACAGAACTTTTCAGATTAGTAGAATATTTAGCTGTATAGCACGAGATCTGTACTGTGTTGGCATACATGCTTTAACTGCCACATTGTGGACCTGGGGAGAAACAATAAGAGGCTAAATCTAGCTTCAAACTTTAGAATCCATTTGTTCACTGCTAAGTCACACTGTGAAAATAACAAAGCAGCTTTGAAAAGCCCTTAATGAAAAACTTTGGTATAATTCTCTGCCTAGCTGAGTCAAGCAGATGAGTGAGGAGCCCAGAACTGGATGCACAACAATGAAGTGTCAGGTTGTCCGGTGGCAAAGATTTTTCCTGTTTCTCAGTCACAAGCTGCTGGGAGACTATACCTCTTTCCTAAGATGGCTGGAAACAAATTAGATAATGCAGATGCAAAATATGGTTACTAGAGGAATACTGTTTTAAAATCCATTCTCTTTTTTAGGTTCTTGTTTGAGTTTTTCCAGCATGAACATGAAAAACAAAATACTGCTTTCAGTTAAGCAACGGTTAACCCTTGCAGCATATGCAAGCATGTTTCCACTTGGCAGCATGGATTCCTATATTAGCTTAATTACAGACACACAGTGGTTTGGCAGTAGCTAGCAATTCCCACTACTTCTTCCACTCGTCCTCCTAAAGAAGGACTATAAACGCAGGCAAAAATTGCCAGGCCTCAAAACCAAGCACTCTATCTTACTTTGCCTCAAGTTTGCAAGTTGGTAAATAAGCTGCCAATAGGCGGGGGGGGCGGGGGGGGACCAAAAAGAAAAAAAAAAAAACCGGGGGACTGCTGGAGTGAGGAGTACCAGGTGGGAAAATGAAGTATCCCACTAGCCACAGACTAGCTCCAGGATGGTCCAACAGTGTGACCCTAGCACCCCTTCACCTCTCTGCTTTCAGGTCCTCAAGCTGACACTAGTAGCAGGACGACCAGAGATACTGCGTGACGAAGACTAGACTTCAGGCTTGTCCCACCTGGCACCAATGACCCTCATGTCCCCAACCCCGACACCGCTAAGTGCCGCGGCTAGGGAGCTCCGCTTGGTCTCCGAGGGAGTGAAGGCGCGATTTCACTGCCGCGGCAGTCGCCACGCGCACTGGACCTGTAGAGGCCGCTCGCGCCTACGCCTCCCGGGGCAACGACGCGCGGCAGGCCGCGGCCGCCTTTGCCCCAACAGCCGCGGCCTCTTGGAGAGCGAAGCTCGAAGGCCGCCCGCCCGCTCCCCACGCCTCCCGCCCCATAACGCATCGAGCGGGGAAAGGCAAAGTTTGGCTCTTGCCCTTAGGCCTGAACTTTCCCGCCCGCCCGTGCAGGTCTCCGCCGTTTCCAACTCGACAGTCCCCCGGGCTCCAGCCTGCAGCCCACTCACAGAGACTACTTACTCTGGCTGTTCCCGCAGCGACTGAGTCTCCGTGGCGGCCATCTTGAACTTCCTGACTCCTCAGCGGCGGTGGCGGAGGCTCCCGGGACGGCGGAAGCTAGTGGAAGTGAAGGAAGACGGAAAAGAGCTGCCGCGCATGTGCCAACCGCGAAGGCAAGAGCGGAGTTCTGAGTCCGCGCTAAGAATCCGGATACAAAACCCTACATCCGGGGACGGGGCGCAGAGCGTCGTAACGCAACTTCCGGGACCATCGGGGCGGTGCCTGCTAAGGGTTACGCGCTGGTGACTGGCCTGGCTTAGAACGCGCTAGTTAATGCTAGAACCAGTGGATTAGTCCCGGAAACCTGCTGGAGAGGGGAGCAAAGAGAGGGGGCTGGCGGTATCGTGTGGGCACTTCCGAGAACTAGTTCGTTATGGCGGCCAGATTTTGGGTAAAAATTCTCTTAAACTAGGGCAAACGAAATGATAATTTTACTCCTGGACAGTGTGAGAGACACAGTAAATGCTTAACCACCTCATTAGGTAGTTCAAGTGAAGTGGCATTAAGGGAAGGTGTGTAGAAGGGCATTTAAGGATATTGGAAAATTAGGGCTGTACCTCGAACGTAAATGTCTTTTAATATGAAACTACTGTACGTTTATTTGAAACCTTTGAACATCTTTTCAACTTTTGCATAGTCCAGGGATAACATGATTCAGGAATCGTTAGGTTCATTGTTTCTGTAAATTGAACTTTTAAGTAATATTTTTTTTGTCCAAGTTGCTTTATGAAATTTTGTTTTTCTATAATGACTCTACAGTAATGGGATTAAATGAAATATTGTAAGGGAAAACATTTACTGGCTCTTGGAGGACTTTCAGTACAAGAGTTTCTTACATTCCGCTAAAAAAAAAATATATATATATATATATATATATATCTTTCTCTGCACTCTGGAACCTAAAAACAGGGTAAAACTGAGTTCCTCTGGCTTCAAACCTCAGCAACCTTAGCGCCTATTATTCTGCTCCACCTATCCTTCCCCACACTCAGGATGCTTAATGTCTACATAGAGCCTAGGCCTACTGCAAGATAACGTTGAGGTGTGAAGCCAGATTGTGACTCAAGTTTAGACTTGGGCAAACCATTCCAGTTTTTTAAGAGTATGTTAAAAAGTTTCAAAAAACAGTGCTGGCAAAAACTTCCTTTACAAAATTCTCACCTAGTTCACTTGCACAGCACTACTAGTTAGGACTGTGAAATAAGATTTGTCAAGGATATATCCCAAACTATGTTGCAATTGTAGTTTTTGAAAAAGTGGGGCTTTCTGAAGGCGGAATTAAAACTAAAGCATCCACTTACCATTTATTCATTCAGCAAACGTTTATGCAACAACAAATTTATGCCTAACATTTCAATCTTACTACTCTTTCTCCTAGGACTCATGAACCTTTGCAACTTAAAGGAGTCTGGAGCAGCTGCCATTTAAGGAAGGCCGGGGAAGGGACAGCTCAGGAGTGGAAGCCACCCCCCGGAAGTCCTCGAGAGGGCCGGGCCTCGGCGAGCGCACGCTTCCCGGGGGCGGCTTGGGCGGCGCATGCGTACTTGCGTCTTGGTGGGGGGGTGGGGCGTTGCGGGCGAGGTGGGGCTCACGGTACGCTCTGTCCGCGCCCTGGAGGCGCCAGCTCAGGCTGAGGACTGCCTGCTTCTTCCCGCGGGTGCTGCCGCGCCCGACAGCCCAGCCAGGGTGTGTCCTCCTCGGGGCCCTGAACCCCAAGCCCGCCCTCCTCAGCCCGTGCCGGCGGCGGCGCTGTTGCTGCCATTCCGGCGAGGCAGTTTTCCGGGGCGCCGGGCCGGCCCGAGGCGTGGGTAGGTGCGGGAGCCGGGGCTGCGCGTTTCCCGCCGCGTGCGCTTCCCTGGCGCATTGGTTGGACCTGGCGGAGAGCGCGTTCGGTAACACCGAGGTCGGCCCTGCTTGCCGATGGGGACAGTGGAAACCACTTCCCTCGGCGTCCGCCGCGGCCAAACAACACAGAAAGTTTACTGACCCGGAAACAAGGTTCTGGGGATACGCATGCATTTTTGAACGCTTCCATTTTCTCTTTCGGTCTTTGCTTGCTTCCTTTTAAGTGTTATAAATTCCAGACAAGAATACACATCCCAAAAACAGTTTGAAAATATTTCTGAATTGTGTTCCTCTTGTGCTGAGGGATTAAATTTAGACCTTGTAAACTACACTGCCATCGTCGGTGCCAGTAAGCCTTTAATAGGCTCATTATAATCTAGGCTACAAACAAAAGTAAGAGAGTATCGTACACTCCTTTGAAGAAAATTACTGGTCCATGTAGAGTCGCCAGATGTCAATTAAAAGAACGTAGATCGCCTTTGTGAGGCTCTATCCAGTTTAAACCTTGACTTGGAATTTGGTGTTCCGGAACACATCGGCCTGAGCAATGTGTTCCCAAGCAAACACAAACTTTTTTCTTTATTTTATAAAACTGATTTAGTGTCAAAGAAATTTGTGTTTATGAAAATCGAGAAAATATAACAAAGCAAAAGAAAACGAAAACCATGTAGGGTTCCATTACCCATACTAAATTACCAACTTTAACATACCAGCTTATTTTGGCCTTTTACACATGAAATAGTAAATTTTCTTATGTATAGAATGTGATAGTTCAATTTTTCCATGTAACATGTCTCAGTTTTTACATAATTCTAGTTTCGATAAACACTTTCATAACTATACTATCCCGTTTTCGTGTTACTGGGTTTTTAGGGCATTTCAGTTTTGCGCTATTGTGTAGTAGAACTAATGTGTGATGAGGCAATAGCTAGTATTCAGAACATGAGTATTCAAGCCAGATAGACCTGGACTTGACTACTTACTGTACAATTTCAAGCAATTTATTTAACTTTGTTGAGCCTTACTTTACACATCAGAAACATGGGAATAATAGTTCTCATCGCATCGAGCT